CCATTTAACATTTTTCTGCAAACTTTACCATTACAGCCTTTTAAATCACTGCAAATTTACTTTATCTTGTACTTTACTTGCAGTTTTACCAAGTTTTTACCTTCATCCTGTGCATTTAAACCTATCCAAGCCTTTACTCTTAGTGTCTAGTCGAACTTGTTCATTAACAACATTAAGACTTCTTATCAAACCCCAAAGACACTTAGCATATGTCCTAGAATCAAGCTGATTGATCCTGCAAGTAACCAAAATAACCTTTTTTAGAAGATCAACGATCGTTTACCAATTTTCACGGTAAACAAATTGGCACACCCGGTGGGACATTGCTAAGTTTTTGTTTTTTTTACAAGCTTTGATAAAAACAGTTTTTATCATAAGTGCTTTACGTAATTTTTTTTTCTCTCAAAAGTGTTGTATGTTATTGAGAAGTGGTAAATCAACCACCAAAGAGTACATACCTAGGAGAAGAAATAGGAGAATAGCTAATGCTAATCAGCAAAGTAGTGGAGAAATGCCTCCACCAATTCCCGCGAGAATAGCGGTTACACCAATAGTTAATGAACTTGTGCCATCAACGGTTGGTTCAACACCAACATTGGCATTTACACAAACAGGACCATTACTTCCTCATGTAGGTCCTAGGGGTCCACCAGGAACACCCCCACCAAAGGGAAATCTGGGAGGTCGACCTTATGTACTTCCTGGATTTTCGACAGCCTGGATGGGTTGAGACCAACCCTATGGCATGCCAACTATTGAAATGACAAGCCTTATGAATGCCTCATCCATATTTTCAAAACCTTTGGTGAGTGCATCTTCGCCATTGCAGGGATCTGGAACTGGTATGGAAAATCTGGGTAGAAACCAACTCTTAGGAGGGACATCCCATATAATGCCAAGCCTCACAAATGCTTCTGCAACAATTTTGAGGCAACAAATTGATGAGAGTAACCATGACATGGTGCAGATGTTGTCACAAACCTTGAGTACAATACTTAACCCTCTGATACAATATACCACCCAGTCGAACCAGCAAATGGAAGCGCAAATGACGCGCATGGACGAATTTTTCGGGGTTCCTCAACCTATTCGACACCCCCAAAGAGAGCTGATAAGAGAAAATCAGGGTGTGGTCTTAGAGGATAACGTGACCATTAATTAGAATCCACAACTAGATGGGATGAACCATAGAGTGGAGGTCGAACAACCTAGGGTAGAAGTACCCAGAGTTTCCCCACAAATCCCAAGAGCTGTCGAACAAGGTGTAGTTGTGGTAAATAGAAACCAAAATGATGATGAGGTAATACAGCAGGTTCGACACCACAACCATGCAGCAGATAATAACTTGACAACCATGGTCAAAAGAATCATGGCCCAGAATGGAGTGAACATTGGCTTTCATAGGCCAAACTTTACATCTCCATTGTCAGATTATATCTTGCAATCAGATTTACCCCATAGGTGGAAAGTTCCAAAGTTCACCAAGTTTTCAGGGGATACGACAGAGTCCACTGTCGAACATGTGGCAAGGTATTTGATAGAGGCTGGGGAAATATCAAATAATGAGAATCTTAGGATTAAGTATTTCCCAAGCTCCTTAACCAAAAATGCCTTCACTTGGTTTACCACACTCCCAGCCAATTCGATTTACAATTAGAATCAGTTGGAAAGATTGTTCCATGAACAATTCTATATGGGACAAACCATGATAAGTCTGAAAGAACTGGCTAGTGTGAAGCGGAGATTCACTGAGTCAATTGATGAGTATCTGAACAGATTTTGACTGCTCAAAGCCAGATGTTTTACACAAGTGCCTAAACATGAGTTGGTCAAAATGGATGCAGGGGGTCTAGATTATTCCATTAGGAAGAAATTAGATACCCAATACATGAGAGATATGGCCCAATTGGCCGACAGAGTTCGACAGGTAGAACTCCTTAAGGATGAAAAAGCTAAGACAAATAAAAATCATCAAAGAGAAAGGGTAGCATATGTGGAAGTGGATAATGATGATCCAGAGACATCTAGTGACCCTATAATTGTCAAAGAGAGCGAGGTCGATCTAGAAGAATTAAAGCAAGGGCCAACATACTCTTGCAAACTATTAACACCCTCAAATGTGAAGAATCATATTGAATCTGAAAAAAGTAGTGATAGGTTCCCAAAGAAAACATATAGTTTCGGTGTCACAAAATGTGACGAAATATTTTACTTGTTAGTTAAAGATGGCCAGATGATAGTGCCCCCAGGGGAAAAAATGCCTCCTTTAGATCAAATGAAAAAGAGAGGTTTTTGTAAATATCATACTTTTTTGGGCCATAAAACCTCAAAATGTTTTCTTTTTGGGGATCTCATTCAATGTGCAATAAAAGACGGCTGACTTAAATTTGCTGACAAACCTCCCATGAAGATTGATGCAAACCCGTTGCAGGAAGATGCCCATTATGCTGAACCTTCATGCATCAATATGGTTGAAGTCTCAGAAGACTTCATCAATAAACCTGTTTTTGGCTGTTTCACTGAGGACATTATTAGAAAAGTTGTTGAAGAGGTACAAAGAAAGGTTGCTGAAAGCCTAAACAAGGGAGCCACTGAAGTCTCAAATAAAGGAACTACGGAAGGTACCTACTTGGCTGCTGTCACAGGTTCGACAGAAAGCCTAGAGGCCAAGATGCCGAAGTTAAGTGTAGCTGGTAAGAGCAACGTGGGAATAAATATGGTTGAAGTGTCTGAACCTAATGTTGCACCCCAAAATTTACCCTCCTAATTGTACTTTTATGGCTTAGACTTTTTACATTCATCTGCATCATTCCAATGGGTCATTCGCATAGCACGCATTTTTCATAAAATAGATTTCCTGAGGCTCAAAAGATCAGCAGTTAGGAAGCTAGGGTTTACAGCTGATTTAAGGTGTGTATGTTGGATAAGTTTGATTATCCAGGGTCTTCTCGGTGTACAAAGTTTTGGAATTAAGGTTTTGGTTCAGGCTCATTTTTTGGACTTCTTCTCCACCAAGTTACAGGGCTAATATCTTCTAATGAACAACTGGTTGTAGGTCATTCTGGTCAAGAACTCCAGGACGTGACCTAGCATATGTGGGCTCCAAATCATGGTGTCTCTTCCTATAAGTATGCCTATCATTTGATTAGGATTAATGACTGTAACATGACATTCATCTACTCCTCAGTTAATCAATTTAGGTTTTGTTGAATCATGGTTCAAAGATGTTTTATCCGATATTTCTCTATGCGTCTAAACGGGGAATCTAGATTGTGAGGTGTGGTTAACAGGATTTCTTTATCTTCAAGATATAATTTCTTTTGTCCAGTCCTGGCAAGTGTTGAGGTTTTCATTTGTGCGACTAGGGTTTCACATCAAGGGAATTCTTCTGTGATTCAGACTTTATCATCCATCTGTAAGATGTTCCTTATGACACTAATTTCAAGTTGAAATAACCGATCGCTAAGGGTTGGGGATTGAATTGTGAAGCGTGGCTCATGACCTAAGATATGAATTCATAGATTTCTCCTTAACCAAGGCAATCATTGTCCTCATCATTGTCATTTGTTATCTGCGATGCGAGTAGGTTTGGATTGAAGTAGGTTTCTCATGGAAGAATTCATGCAAGGTAATTCAAGGTTCAAGGCATTCAAGGCAGGGTTTTGTTCAACATGGCATACCTGGTTGATGGGCTTACAAGCTCTTATGAGACCTTGAGATGCATAATCATGGGCCAATTTCAAAGATATGTGGATAAGATCTGTTGACTTCGGTTAAAGTAAGCTTTGAAAATTTAACTTTGGGACCAAAATCTCCCTTGAATTTTCATCTAATATGTGTTGGGCATTCGATTTGCATTTGAAGAATGGTATGGTAAAGGAAAAGAAATATTGGTTCAGAAAAGGAAAATTTCATTAAAAATCAGGGTTTCTATTCATTGATAAAAGTTCAAGTAATTGAAGATCAGGGGAAATAAGGTTTCATATTAATCTTGATCATATTCTTTCATTATCATTTACGTCCATCTTTGATGATTTAAGGTCGTCAATTAGGGAAGGACTTTGTCAAGATAAGAGACTTGTGGATTCAATCGTGGAATATGAGGCATGATACAAAAGGCAAGGTTGTGAATTTTTTAGGATCAAGATCTTATTGACTATTCAAATTATTTGTAATTCAAGTTGATTTGGATTCAAGATTGAAGTTAAGAGTTCATTGAGAATGCAAGTGTGATTTGGATTTGAAGTTTGATTTGAGTTCAAGATGTTCGAAAGTGTTTGATTGGATTAAAGTTGGCAAAGAGCCTTAAGTATTGGTCATATGAGTTTCTTGGAAGGTAAAGTACATACTGTGAGGTCTTGTTTCAAGTCGGAGTTCATCCGCATTACAAAGATGTTCATGGTTATTCCAAATTCAAGTTCACATGTGTTCAAAGTTTATTCAAACCCTTTCATTCATGATTCAAGAAAATACTATCCAATTCCATTCAATTTCATTCAAGTGTAACAATACCTTACAAGAAAATTTGATGCTTTCGTGTCTTCAAGCATTTTTTCAAGACTTTGTCATTTAAACTCCGTCCTTAAAATTCATCACCCGACATTTCAAGCTCAAAGGTCATTTACAATTCACACTATAAATTTCAAGTTCATCCAAACCAAACATTCATTATAAAATCATTACAATCCCATTACACCAATATTCTACAAAGAAAAAAAATTGTTACAAAATACACTTGAACAAAATTCTTTAGTCCTAAAAGTGCTAAAATTCCATGAGTAAACTTCCAATTCCATGCCATGCCAAAGTTCGCCATCATCATGTATTCTTCAATCCTCATACCCCGAGCGAACCGACTTGTTGCATTCTTCAAACAATCATTACCATCCATATCAACCAGCGTTAATGCATTTCCAGCTCACCACTATGCTGCTATGTCAGATCAAACTAACCTAAATGATTGAACTTCAGTTTCTAGACAAGATATTCAAGGAAAAAATATGCTTGGTTCAGTTGCTCCTGGTATTAATAGCGGGATAAATATGGAGAACTTGCAGCAAATAAATTCTGAGCAAAAAGATATACCAATGCAAGATTTTCATGCGAGGCAAGAACTGGCTGGATCTTCCGAGACTTCACAAGACAAGTTGATAGTGCAGGCTCCTCCACATAAGGAATTATGCTTTAAATATGTTGGATGGTTCAGATAGTTTTAGTGGATTTCCTTCTCTTCAGAGTGGGAGTTAGAGTGCACTGATGCAGTCTGCTGTAGTTGAAACTTCTAGTAGTGAAGTGGGTATACAAGAGGAATGGAGTGGTCTAAGTTCTCGGAATACTGAACGGCCATTGCCAAAAGAAGGACCTTCACCCATTGATAGCAACAAACAACAATCAGTTTGGCCTGATAATAATTTGCAGTCAGCCCCCAATATAAACTCAAGGCCTTTAATTCGTCAAGATGATCTTAGCAGGCCCAGTTCTACTGTAAACTTTTCTGGTCTTCCTGGATTTCATCAGCCAGGTGCTGATACTGCACAAGAATCAAATGCAACCAGTTCAACCCTGTATCAATTAACAAAATTGGCTTAGAAAAAGAAATCAAAATAATTAAGTAAATTACTTTCAATTTCATTCAAATCTAAGGTCAACCCATCTAGTATAACTAACTGTTATCAAAGATCTCACTGGTAGTTACCAACAGAAAACAATTTACTAACTAATTCCATAACAGTTCAACATATTCATAACAAACCTCCCTAACCAATTCCAATAGCTAACTTTCTCATAATAGAATTTTCTAACTGCATCCAAAACAGAATTCTCCTAACCACCTAACAGATCCAAAACAGAATTCTCCTAACCACCTAACAGATTCATAACTTCCTCTAACCAACCTCCCAACAGATTATAACAGAATATAACAGATTTAGAGTGGGGGGAATTCACGATTTTTTCCTTCAATATACAGAAGAGATCCAAAAAAAATCACAGAGAAAAAAAAGTCTTTGAATCAGGAACAAACCTATAAGTTATTCTGTGAAAATTCTTCTGCTCTTCATCTTCATTCTCCTTGTAACCCCTTCATCTATGTTATCATCTTCTTCAATCTTCAAAAACCTCCTCTCCAAAACTGATTCTTTCAATTACTTCAATCTGCAAATCACATAACATTCCATCATCTTCCACAAAATGCTATTGTACCTTTCATCATCATCTTTATTCTTCAACGCTTAATCACCCAAAATTGAATCCAAGCCTTTTCTCCTGAATCTGCATTACCACGAATTTCAGTTCATATCATCGCGTGCACACGAGAATTGTGGCAGAAACGCGAAAGAACAAAAAAACTTGGAGCAGAAGAGGAAAGAATGGAGAGTAAGAAAAATGAACATACCTGGAGAACAATTTATAGACTCAATTTATATTCGGCCCGCTAGAAGTACAGTCAGAACAATTCAAATACGACTTCCTTCAATTCCGAGTTGGCTCGTAATACTGAATCCATTTTTGGATTCTTCTCTCGGCGATTCCGTTTCTAATTCGTTTGATATTATTTCCCATGTGTTCAAATCATATGAAGAAGATGAGGCAATCAGAGGTTCGAAACAAAATAAAGGAGACGATGAATAGTGACTTCCAAAGGGTGCTTTCACCGCGGAAGCTGACGATGGTGAGGGCGGAGGTCATTCGTGGCTGAGTTCGAAAGCAAAGAGGAAGTCGTCTTCGTGAATTCCAAGAATTTGCTGAAGCATTTGGGTTTGGATTTGTGATATGTGGTTATGAGGGATGAGTGATAGCCACAGTGGCAGAATCGAAAGGCGAAAGATGATGAAGTCGCCTGGGCCGTTTGAAGAAGATAGAACGAAGGAGATGATGAAGGAGTCGTGCCGCCGGTGAGAGAGTAGGGAAGAAGAATTTGTGAAGATGAAAAATCACAACGCTGTAACCCTAATTCCCCTTTTGGACCGGACCATACATCTTGGGCTGGACATTTTTTGGCCATATTGCTTCACAAAAAATTGCTACTGGGCCTGAGCGTTTTTTAGCCCAATTGCTTCATACAAAAAATTTCCAAAATTGCCAATTGGGACTGGAATGTTGGGCCTGCGCCTGGGTTGCTTCAGTATACCTCTAAAAAAAACTCTATACCCCCTGAATACTTTCTATTATTTCTTAAATAATTTTGTGTGATATTTCTACATGGTTTTTTCCTTAATTGTTCACATGATAAAAATTCAAAAAAATATTAATAGAACTTTACTTCTTTTATCAACTTTGTTTGTTATTTTATCCATGTTTTTGGTATATTTTAATGCCAATTTTGTGTGAGATTTTGAAATAAAAGAGACTTGAGTGAGGAGTTTCATGAAGTTTCAAAGCTAGCTAAGAGCATAATTTTCATCGAGGAATTCAAGGAGGCTTCTGTAGAGTTTTCTTATCACTTGCGTGGCTTCGAAGAGGAAACGGACCTTCTCCGTTCGGTATCATCGTGACCTCAATTTATACTTCATTTCTGTACTTTATCACATTTCTTTACCGCTTTTCATGAAAAGTAGGAGCTTTATTGCAAACCATATGCATGCTAACATTAGGTGGACGTTTCCCTTTCGTCCAACCCTGACTTAGGGCTACTAATGCACGATAACTTTAGGTTTAGAAATAGGCTAGTCTCCCTGTGACTTTCTTTCCCCTTTCGCATATGCATTAAAACGAAATTAGTTTTTACAAACTTCAAAATATTAAAAACTTACTGACAAGAATCATATCTTCGCTAAGTATGTGAGACGATAAGCGGGTCTCTTCTCGACCTTATTGTTCTATTATTCTAAGCTTTGGCATTTCAAGTCTCAAAGAATCATTTCAGGAATAAGTAGAGACATGGCTAAAATCTCTCCCTTGAGATTAACTAGCTATTATCTACAAGCAAAAATACCAACCAATACGAACTCTTTTTGCCTTCGGTCCTTCCTTGCAAAACCTTTTCAGAAAAGCATGTTAATTCACTTCTGTGTTGACGCGTAAGTCTCCAAAGGTCGAGTTGCGGCAGAGGGAGAAATTAATGTTGTTCACTAAAAAACACAAACCAACCAGAATATATGAGCCGAACTATGGCTGCTCTGATTCCTTAAAAGGGATACGTAGGCATCGGGGTAGGGCCCAAACGAGCACAATTTTATTTTCCCTACATTCTTTTCCCCTTTATTTTGCATGCATTTTCCATCCAGTAGTATAGTAAACAGTAAGCATATATTAAACACACCCATAAGATAGACAACAAGAGTGGATACCGTTTAGTACTATGGGCATTTATTTTCTTTTCAGAAAAACCCTCACATTTAACCTGGGGCAGGGTAGATTTCAGTTTATCTGATTGGGCATTCAAAACTCATTAAGAGTGCGCATCAAAGGATACAACAATGGTTGTCCTTCAGAAGGTTGAGAAAGAAAAAAATCACAATGGCTAACTTTCATCTATCATCAGCGTGCATCAAAGATAATGATATCCCAATAGGTATCTCTCGCACATCAAAAGGTCAAAATATGACGATACCATAATGGTTATTCCTCGTCAACCGAACAGCAAGGCAGTCACACCTTTTTTCAACAAATCAAAGAATGACTCGAAATCACACGACTGGTTCAAAAGAAATGATAAAAGAAAGAGACAAAAAGCCTTGCTAAGTCAAAACTTGCAAAACAAGTCGCTTAGGCAAAAGTCAGGGCATCCCGTTGGACTTCAAAGTCAAATTCAAAAGGAATTTGTCCAGGCAAAAATTAGGGAATACAAAAAAGAAAGTGAAAAGAGCGAAAAGAGAAAAAAAGGATCACCAAATAAAAATCCTCGACAAAGAATAAAATCATGTGATCGAACACAAAAATGAAAGAGGTGAGTGATTGCCATCCTCCTCAACCATGGTAAACTCCTTCTGAGTAATGAGTGCTCATATTGGTTTAACTGAATTTAGGATTCGAGAAAATCACGGAGAATGGGTGGGCACCAAATATTTTGAGCCTTAAACATTTCCTTCTAAAAACGTGAACCAAGCCACGTTACAACCCTGAAAAGTCCTAACTGAAGCATGGGTTAATTCGAAAGTGCATTATAACAAGAATACAGTAATATGACTCCTATGAGGCTTGCAAAAACTTTTGAGTTGGTATCACTCCATCTTTTTACTATCTTTTGTACAAATTTTTGATGTCTCAAAATATTTTTTTACAAATCTTTTAACTTCAAGACAAACATGAGCTTTGCATTAGAATTATCATTCTTAGAATAAACATTCTTTGCATATGAACAAGTGCTTAAAACACCAAGTAAGCTTACATAATGAGTATCAGACGAAAATTTGATTATTTCAAAGGACAAATTGCTTCAGGATATCGTTTAAAGGTAAATCATTTGTGAGAATGGTCTTAATCTGGGGAAAATCTTCTATTGACTCCGCTGAGTAAAAGAATACCGGTTTGATAAATGATCTGAAGTAGATTGCAAAAGTTGGTCGCCCAAAGTTTCTGACAAGCAGTGGTGCATTACTTTCAGTTGGTCCCAAGGGAAGTATTGCTTCAAGTATTTGCTTGAGAAAGAAGCAGTTCAAGTCGAGAAGTATGGTTGTGAAACAACGTTATTTAAGACATAGGACAACTACTCTAAGGTTATGTTGCCTTTGAAAATCCTAAAGTTTTCATCTCTCCGTGAGCATGGGACAAAGAAAAGATTTGTCGAGATTCTGTTGAGCAGGGGCAAGCGCGTCGAATACTCTGTCGAGTAAATATGCAGCCAATCTGAGGCATTCAAGTCGGGATTTTATCCCTCAAAGTGCAGTTAAACTGGGGCAGTTATGTCGAGATTTGATAAAACTCTCTAAAAATTTGTTGATCAGAGGAGAATCTTCCCAGAATTTGAAGGTGTATGGGCATTCGCTCAAGCATAGTTGGAATCCTCTACAATTTTAGTTATCCAAACATCATGTTCCAAAGTTCATAACACTGGGGCAGTTTATCTTGGTGGTACATATCTCAAAAAGTCCTCCCGAGGCAATTTTCCGCAAAAGGCTTACAAACTGGGGCAGGAATTTATGTAAGGGATTTCTCTCTTTTTCAATGGTTGATCAGATCATGTCCATACGCAGGCTAAAACCTATGAATTTGAAAATCATGATGAGAATTCAAGATTGTAATCTTCAACTTATCATAGATTTAAGTCCAT